GTAGAATCCACAAGAGACACAGTAGGAAACCCAGATGGGAGCCCACTTTCCTCACCAGATGGCAGGCCACTAATCAGCTCAGTTCCAGAGAATTCTCCACTGAATCCGGAATTCAGCCCACCGCTTTCCACTCCGGAAGGCATCCCACTAATTTCTGGTATCCTTGCAGTAGATACTGATACATCTTCCCCTCCAGAAGGTAAGCCACTAATATCAACGATCCCAGAAGGCACTCCACTTAGGTCCCCTGATGATAATCCACTTTCTCCAGACAGAAAGCCACTGGTATGCAAATCTACTGATGGTAATCCACTTTCTCCAATCCCTGAGTGCTCTCCACTGAGTTCAACAATTCCAGAAGTTGATTCTCCACTTAGATCTGGGACTCCAGATACCCACCCAGACGTCGAAGATTCACCACTGACTTGATGCCCTTCAGATTCAGTGATCTCCCCTGACACACTGACAGAAGCACTGGTACTTGCTTCTTCTGGTATTACAGTAGCTGGAGGAAATGCTGATGGACTCACTGGAAAAGAAAGAGGAAACAAAGAGAGAAAGAGAGAGAGAGAGAAAAAAATGATTTACTAAACTACCTTAAATGAGTTATTAAAAATTTCCTGATTAGCTTTGCTTCTAAACTGACAGCAAACAAAATAACCTTTGAGAAAAGGTATAAAGTCTTATGAACTCACAGAAATCCTTTGATCCCTTCAGATTTTGAAAACTAATGAGGATATCTTAAATTCTAAAGCCTTAAATATCTTCGAGAAACTGACAGAATGTATAAACTTCTGACATAGGACAATGGGGGCACCAATTCCAAAATACCAAAAAAAAAAAAAAAAAAGCTACTACTTCCTTGAAGATAACACTTGAAAGGAGAAGTTTGGTACTGCCCAGCACATTCCACTGAGAAGTGCACCTGAGGCTGCCATGCTGAAGAACTAATTCTATGCAGAGGGAGTCCTGTGAGCATCCTCCCTTCTCCTCTGCCTGGATTCAGAGGGGTTTCTCTTCAGCAAGGATACAGTCCATTCATATCAGGAATGCTCATAGTCCTCGGTTTGCTTAGCCAAATGTGACTTGAGACAAAGGGAAAAACAACTCACCTGAGAGCAGTGATATGTCAGTTGGAAAGACTTCTGTTCCCCAGGCTGTCTGATTCTCGGGTTCAGTGGTAGGCTCCATCTCTACAGTTGTTTCTTCCCCAGAAGGTACCCCCTCTACTCCAGGGATCACCTGGGTTACAAAAACTTCTTCAAAGAATGAGGTAACTCCTGGTTCCTCCACAGATGGCAGAGCTGGGACAGGAAGATATTGGAGGGAGTTTTTAAGAATTTGTAATCTTTCAGATGTATATTGCATGGCTGCATGAATGCCTAAGATACCAAGATAATGAGCCATGAAAAACAAACAAACAAACCAACAAAAACTCAGAAATGCCTCTCATACTGGGAGACAAGATAAATAGAAGCACTCGAGGCAGAGGAAACTGAGTGATATTTTTCATTTAAGAGTTTCTCAAGACAATAAAATAAATGCAGTTATGAACAATAGGAACACGTCCCTCTGAGCCCCCGGAAACAGCAGTTCTTTTCTGGTGAATCCTGCTTTGCATGGACTGGAGTCCCTACGTGACCAAACTCTCTCATGAAATCCTGCTCTGAAGGGGCAGGTCTATGAACATAGGCACTAGAAAGGGTGGGATGGTACCTCTGAAACAGAACGCATGATGCCGTGACAGTGGGTCAGGAAAGCCTGTCTGGTTGTAGTGCAGGTAGATGGTTCTCACACCAGGCTCATCTCCCCCACAGGCAGGTCGTGGGGTCACGATGGGGTATCGGAGGCTGCCATCAGCTAACCAGCCAGCATAGCATCTGTCCAGACCCTGCTTCCAGGCAGCATGGAGTTGCCCAACAGAGGCCAAAGTGGCATTTTGGTTCTCACAATACTGCTGAGCTTCTTGGAAGGTGAACAGATACGGCTGGGTTGCAAAGAACACCTCACCTGAGGGAAAATAAATAGAAAAAGCATGTATGAGCCCCTGAACTTCTCCATGGCACCTGGGGGACATGTCTGCTCTTTACACACACACACACACACACACGTGTGTATGTGCAGGTGTAAGGATCAGCAGCAATCCTCAGAAGAAGGGGAAGAACATACCCTTTAGCCTGTCAATGTAGCAGTACACATCATAGGTCTCTGAGGCTGGACGCATGCCGTACGACCGCACACCCGGAGAGCCTTCTCTGTCTCCTACACAGTTACTTCGGGGATTCACAATGGGATACCTAGCAAAAGCAGAGAGGAGGTTCAACCTTATGTGCCTTGAACTGAAGAATCTCAGTGGTGTATTTGGGAACAGGATGTAAAAACTTGGCATTCTGAGATGCTCAGAGACCTTAGCATGACTTGGAAACAAGTTTAATCTGCACCTACAACCTGGGGCAACAAATACAAACTTTTCCCCATTTTTACTAGTATACATAACCATACTGTAAAATGGACTGCTTCAGGATGTAAATATGGGTTAAGAAAGAGGTTAGACATGTTAATGAGAACAATTCTATTGGTCACTGTTAAATATGTCATGTAGACAATCACAGGTTAGGAAATTCTTAGCTGATGAGGAACAGAATAGCAGGATATACCAAGTAAAGCCTCAAGTTCATGGCTGAATTTTCATTTCAAAGGTTCATTTCCCCAGGTCACTATCGTTTTACCTGACTGTCTGGTCCCGCAGCCAGCCGGCATCACACTGATCAAAGCCAGCCTCGTAGGCAGCCTGGAGCTGTTCAGGAGTGGCAATGACTGCGTTGTTATCGAGGCAGGCTTGCTGGGCTTGGACGAAAGAGAAGGCGTATCTGCTGGCAGCAGCACGATAGTGAAACACCACACCTGGGGAGAAGTGAAGAAATATTGATACACAGGATACGTAACCCCCCTGCCCTCCACCAGGACTGGTGGCCAGAAAGGATCTCCCCCTGCAAGGACGAGAGTCTCTCAGATCCATTTTGATGGAGATCTGTCATTCACTGAGCTTTGTTCTCATCAAGAGCAATGTTCTGGACACGTCTTTAGCTCTCCTTGAGGATCTTACTATCTTGACTTTCCCCTTTCCTATAGCAGGGTGAGCCTGGGATTTCAGAGTGCGACTGCTGCAGCTCCAAGCATCAGACAGCTCCATTCTTTCCAGCACATGATGAAGCAGCCCATAGCCTCCTTGTCACTCTTCCTGTCCCATTGCAGGCGGAGACATTCAGCCTGCCCTGACAGCAACCTCCCAAGCAGCCAGAGCTGGAGGCACTCCAAGTTGGAGGAAGCTCAGACTGCTTTCAGCTGAATAGCCGACCCCAGAAGAAACAGATCTTCAGACTTCTGGGAGTCCTGGTGACTTACCTGTGGGAGAAATGGGCTGCTCAGGGAGGAGAGCGCCGTCAGGGGAAGCCGTCACTCGTACAATCTGATCTTCCACTGTGAACGGAGAGGCAGACTCTAGCCCTGGTGTGGCAGTCACCCCAAAGGCCTCTTCCACTGAACTCATTTCTGCTGTTCCAGTGGTGAAAGCAGTGCCTGAAACTGAGGTTGTGACAACTTCAGGCATAGTCCACACTTGTGTGACTTCTTCTCCAGTCACATTTTCTTCTTCAGGGAAAGCTGTCTCTACTGTGACACCAGTGGGGAAGAGTTCAGGCACAACGGTGAAGCCTTCATAGAGCTCGGTGGCAGTGGCTGTGATCTCAATGGGCTCCAGGGTAGCGATGCTGCCACGAGCCTCCTCCTGTGTGACATTGTGTGGCAGAGGTAGCTCAACTTCAGTTTGGGTGACGGTCTGGATGGTGAATGCACTGCCCAGCTCACTTCCCGTCTCATCAGTGAACTGCACCGGGACTAGCGCTTCAAAGTCATCACCTAAGTCAGGAGACAAAGAAGTGATTACAGTGGATGTAGTCAGTCTGGTGAGGTCTGCATATACTGGGCTGGTTGTTGCCTCAGAGAAGCAACTGGGAATTTGCTGGCTCTGTGGGAAGCAGGAAAAACATGACATTCTTGTAGAATAAATTCTTACTGATTCCTTACCCCACTGTGTCTCTTTGCAACACTCCAGTGCCAGATCATGTTCATAAGTCAGCGGCAATGGGTCACCACAGACAGAATTGGTAAATGAGAGGAGGACTTTCCTTGTTCTTCTCCCAGCTCTCATTCCTGGGAGCATCTTGCCCAAATCCAAGTCTACACTGACCTCTAGTGCCTGCTAGAAGGAACTCAAGATGGCCAGAGGAAAGTTAGGGGTGCTTGGATAACCTCCACAGCAGATCTGAGATGTTGAGTGAAGTATAGGAAGGCAACTAGCCCTTCACAGTAAATATATGAAGTCACTCCAGGATCACTGTCTCTCCTTCTGGTCCACCAGCAGAATAAGGCAAGGACTTAAGAACTCATCACGTGTAAGCATGATACCTCCATCACCAAGGCAGCTGAGGTCTCTTTCCATCATAAATAAATTCTGACAAGTCATTGCTCCTGCCTTTCTCCCTCCCAAATCCCTTTCCTGCTCTCATCCTTTGCAGCTAGGAGAACATCAGGCAGCCCTGCTTAGTACCTTACTGAACAGGTTATCCTACAGCAAGGAATGCAACTTAAAGAGCAGCGTAAAGCAGACCAGGGAGGTAGTAAACCTCTGGAAATGCTGCAGGACAGGTCTCAGTTGGGCAAAGAGCAGCTAGAGAGACAAAACTAGGACTTTCAAATAATACTGCTTTTATCTCTCTATTCATTTCCAATAACATTTTCTAGCTGCACACATCTTCAGGGTTAGATATCTTCTATTTTTCATTCTCTTCCATCCTCAACATTCAAACTCCTGCATATAAATCACTTGAGCTCTGCTTCCTGGAGAGCTTTTAAAGGTGGAAGGTGTGCGAGGGCTGGAGAGAAGGGGGTGATATTACATCTGACCCTCATCAGGGCCCTCAGGTACAGGGCAGGTATTTGGGCACATTCTGGACTCTGCTTCCTACCTGAGCATAATTATGGGGACTATGTACAGTCACCTCTACCAAAACTGCTTTTACCCCCTGCCCCTTTTTAAATAAAAGGGCAATAAGATTCTCCAGGTTAGTCTGGAGTAGTGCTACCACAACAGGTAAGTGTTGTGAGTGACAGGCAATGTGAGTCTTCAGAGGCACCAGTTGCTGAAGGCAGCTGAAACAATGAGTTGTGGACCTGGCAGTTTATAATAGGGTTTCTTACCTAAAGTGCCTGAGATGAAAAGATGAGCAGAAGTAGAAAATTCTCTACTTTGTTTGGTAAAGATGTTTGGTAAACATCTTTGCAAGGGAACTTTGCATTGTCCCATCTTTTTAAAGCAGAGTGAAGAAAATGCTAGTGAACACTGTGACAAAGCATCGTGAACTGGATAATAGAGGACAGTCTTAATAGAAGTTATCCCTGGACAGAAGCTCCTGCTTGCTTACACGTGTGCAGACCTGTTGCTTCTTAGTCCCATAAATAAAATGCACTCACCACTATAGCAGATGGCATCGTAGCGAGAGTGGGGGTGAGGGTACCCCGTCTGGTTGACGTACAGGTACACTGTCCGCACGCCCACCAGGTTTCCTCCACAGTTGGGCCGTGCTCTGGAAATGGGGTAGCGGACGCTGCGATCTGCCAGCCAGCCTGCACTGCACACGTCCATGCCATCCTTCCACGCCAGGTACAGCTCTCCGGTGGTGGCCAAACGTGCCCCCAGACTGCGGCATTTGTCAAAGGCTTCCTGGAAGGTGAACTTCTCCGGGGACGTGGCATAGAAGACTTTACCTGGAATCACACAAGCACACAGGAATCAGCTGTAGAGTTTAACCCCAATTCCCTTTCTATCCTCTTCCCCTTCTCTTGAGAACCTGACTAGGATGAAAAATTCTCCATATTACAGATGAAGTTCAACTCTGTGTTGGTGACAATCTATAAAGACCACAAGAAAGGGAATTTTAGAGTGAATCTATTTGAGCAAAGCACACAACAGCTGGAGTCACAAGACAAAAGGAAGATAAAGGACATTTTCAGTTTTGATGTGCTGAGCATTTCAGTGGATCTCTGTTGTAAGCATAGGTGACAGATATCTCTGAATATCACACCCTTGAATGATGATCAACAACAAACAGGGTGGCATATCCCCCAGTGGAGGTTAGACTGACACCACCCTTTGTAGTGTTAAGTCATTTGACATGAAAATTGCTCATGGTCTAACAAAGAGTCCATAGAGATTGCCTGGCCTTGCTGAGGGATGTGCTTTTCCATCTTTAACCTGCCTTCCTCTGTACTTACAGGCATGATCAGAGCTTTATCTGCTTTTGTGTCTAATAAGAAAAGCCCCAAATCACCTCGCATTTGCTCTGCGTAGCAGTAAACATCATAGGTTTCATCTGTCTCCCGGACGCCATAAGTCCTCACTCCAGGAAATTCATCCTTGTCACCATAGCAACGCTCTCGGGGACGGTGGATGGGGTACCTGAGGGGGAGAAAGAGAGTGTGTGGGGTGGACAGGACTCCCATGTCCTCCGGGCAAAGCTTGGAGGGAGCCACGGATCACAGTGCAGCTCTTAAAACAAGGAGGAAGCAGGTAAGCCAATGCCCTGTGTGTGTTTTTTGTTTGGTTGTTTTTTCTGGGAGAAGGGGCAAGAAGATCTACTGTCCTGTCTCCCCTCTCATGGTCCTGGCCCAGCAGATCCCTAAGAGAACCAGCCAAAGACATGAGGGCAAGGTGCTTCCCCAATGAGGGATGCACAGGATGGACAAGCCACACGTTTGGATTTTGGCATAGCATCTGCTTCATTCACGGAGGATGAAAGATCAGGATTAAGCTACTGACCTCTCAGTTCTCACTACGAGGTGAGGAGGACAGGGGTCACAGTGTTTTCCTGCCATGCATCCCTCCCAGGCAGGAGATGGCTTGCAACAACACACTAGTTGCCTTCATACGCTAATAACTATGACAATGGTTATTTAGCAACTGTTTCTGAACCTTCCTCAGGCAGCGTCCTCTTCATAAAAGTCCTTATCCAAACATCTTCTTGCCCCTCCTGGGGTTTTCCTTGCCCTTACCTGACAGTCTGATCAGCCAGCCAGCCGGCATCACACTGCTCGTACCCATCTTCGTAGGCAGCCTGCAGCTGCTCGGGAGTAGCAATGACAGCGCTGTTCTGGATGCAGGCCTGCTTTGCCTTCTCAAAGTTCAAGGTGTACCTCGTGGAGATTGCTCTGTAGTGGAATACGACGCCTGGAAAACACCAAGGTCATCATTCCTACATGTCTGCCCGAGAGGAATAAGTCCCTTTCCTTCCAAAGGACTTTGGGAGCCAAAGAAAAGATACTGCATTCCAACTAGAAACGATGAACAATTTATGGTGATTATCTTTGAGTATCTCAACCAAGGGCGATTTGATGGGCTTATATCACAGGACCCTTGCCAGTGGAATACACTGGTTGCCTAGAACAGCAGTTGCTCTCCTGTGTTGCTGGAACAAAATCACGATATGTTAATAAGCCAAGGTGAAAATTCACCAGGAGGCAATGAAGGGACTCACAGCCCTCTACTGAGACATATCTTCTGGGGGATGTGACCAGCAAAAAACCTCCTGGTTAAAGGCTGTAGCGAAAGCTGTCTCCCTGGCCTCTCCTCAATATCTATACCAAAAGTAAAAACCCTGGTAAGGATTATAAAAAACATAACTGTTGTTATATTATCCAGCTGTTACTAGGATGGGTCTTGCAAGACTACATTTTTTTTTTCCCCAGAACAAACCAAAACTCCAACTGAGGGCAACCCATCTCCTAAAATACTTGGAGGAACAAAACCGTAGACCTGTGCATGCTTCACCCTCTTGAGCAATAACCCAGCCTCTCCAGCAGCACCCCCTGCCAACCTGGGAGCCTTGCAACCTCTCACCCAACTGAGTCACTTTATTGCTTTGTTTAGTCTGCTCCTAACTTGCTAAATTGTATGCCTGGCCCATGGCTTCTGCTTATCTGATTGTGGCCTTGTCTGTGACCTGACTGAAAGGGCTTAAAGCTATGGAAAGAGCAGCACCTTTCCTGTCCCCATAGCTTCTTACTTCCTTCTGCTCAATCCAGACAACCTGATGCTAAGAGGAAACAGCAAAGGCAGGAGCTCACCTTTCACTAGGACCTCTATTGTGTCTTGTCTGTCCTCAATCCCATACATTACTTCACAGCGATAAATCCCAGTGTGGTTGGATCTTAAAGCCTTGATTTCCAAGGTGGCATCGGTGGGGATAGCAGGGTAATTGGGCAGAGAGATTGCCTCCCTGTACTCCATGTTGAGTCGGATTTTCCCTCCAGTAGCCACTAACAAGACGACTTCTGTCCCATTTGAAAGCTTGCTCCATTTGATCCGTGGAGTCAGCAGAGCACTGGTATCATCTTCCTCGGGGATGTTGAAGTAACAGGGGATGTTCAGGGAGCTTCCCAGGACAACACGCAGGGGAGACTGCTCAGGTATCTTCACTTCCAGGCCATCACTATTGTCTGCCAGTTCCCAAACAAAGCAATGGTTACATCAGCAAGACACTTCATACACAAACTCCAGGGCTTTCAATGCTCCAATGCCTCTGTCTGCTTTGTAAACCTGCACCTATACTCAGACAGCCTTATTAATATTGTTGGGTTTTTTTTTTTTGGTTTAGATAACTTGCAGAGATGGAAGCTGCAACAGTGATCCTGGTACCATGGTCATCTTTGGGAGCTGGGAGCAGTTCTAGCTGCAGACATGAAGGCAGTAAAGGGCTCTGCTGCAGCGCAGCTACTAGTCACGATGTAATATCACACCGGAGAGGCCTTAAGAAAGGGGTATGCTTTAATTCCTTTAGTTTCCCTACCAATATACCCCTGCCTGAAACTGCCTCCCTTGCTCCTCAGGCAGAAGAGCTGTGACATTATCATAAAACAGCCATCCAAAGACAGGGCTGCGTGTGTACAGAGCAAATCTAGCTGTTCATAGCCAGGGATGGGACCAGAGTGCAGCACATTGCTCAGTTCCAGGGTCCTGCACCTCGGAGCACGTACCTGAGAGCTCCACAGAGACGGCTGCAGTGATGACTCGCAAACACACAAACACTAATAGTAAAGTGGTCATAGTTTACCTGTAAGAAACAACACAGGGAGAAAGGTTTTATGAGAGATGAATGATCATGTGGAATGGAGTGCTGCAGAGGCTGCTAAGGGCCCAGCTGCATAACAAGTCACCCCTTAACATTCCTGTATGTGACCAGTAGTGAAATCTGGGCCTTGGGGAAGCACACGGTCCTGAAGAGCCCACGAAATCAGTCCTTTAGACAAATAAATATGATGCTCTGTTATTCATAACAGACTTAAGTGTTATTATAGATGACTGACTACATTGCTCTCCCATTATCCCCCTTGTGATCCAATCTTCCCCGTGGAGCACAAAGACAATTTTGAAACAGTTCTTTACAGTTGTTTTGTATTTACTCCAGATGGACTAGCAGACCCTTCACCTGAGAACAGGAGCTGCCCATTACCAGCATCCTACATCCAAGCCAGCCCTGGTTACTGAAACAGATGACTGGATGCATTTTTTGCACCTTAAAATGCTCTGAAGGGAAATCTGCTCCTTTTATGCCAAAGGTTATAATGCTTTGTACCATATTCTCACACTGACAGCATATGTAGCCTAACTGTAAATAGATAACGTATTTCTACAGGAAATCTGCAGGATCTAATTCTGCGCACAACTTAACTCCATCCATTAATTATCCTGTTGGGATCCCCAAACTAGGCAGAACAACCTACTACTTGAGAAAACTCTAGGAAAAGCTTCAGTATCCTCCTGACTCTAAACAGCAGAAGCAATATAGGGAGGACAAAGAAATTAATCCTAACTGGATTATCATTCATAAACATTCCTATGCATAATATCACAGGACTTTAAATTGCCCTAACTGCTCAGGTAGCTTTAATATTTCAAATAAAAAACTTGTTGTTCCACAACACAGCATTTTTGTGCACAATATTTCAGGACTGATTCAGCTTTGACTCATAAGGAAGGGCCCCACCTACTGAATCACAAGTTTCCTTTGAGGTCACCTGTCCAAATATCGGCTGTTTAACGCCTGTGAACTAGAAAGATCCCATCTGGCTGCAGCTGACAAGGAATAACCTGAACACACACCTATCAACCTAGCAAGAAAAGTCCACTAAGGATCCACAAAGGCCCAAAATAAACCTCGTCCTGTACAGTCCAGCACAGCCTTTCACTGTGCAGTGATGTGAATGTTTGCGGGTCTCTGGCTGGGAATGACATCTCTATAAGCAGCATCATATGAACCAACGCAATCCCAGCCATGGCACTAGCCATGCTAGAGGAAAATCAACCATCACGTTCAGGCAGAAGAGCCTGAAGTTACTCATCGCTCTGGATCCCAAAAATGGCAGGGGAACAAACCCAAAGCAGGGGCTGGGAAGAGCAATGAGGAACCTTCTGCTCATTAATAAGCCAGGAGAATTGGAAACACCATCTGCTACAGATAAACAGTCTGAAGTCAGCTTGGCCAAACACCTATACCCGGGAGTCCTTAAGGAGTGTGCTGAGGAAACTGCTGGCTGCTGCTGTTCATTTATAATCTGGGTTGGAGCACTGGGGCATGTCCCAAATAGGGAAGCACTGTGCCAATAGTCCAAACAGATATACAGAGATGAGCCTCATAAATACAGCATGTTTTGCTTGACATCAATTCCACACGAAATAATGGAAAATCTGACACATTCCAATTCATTAAGCACCAAAGAATAGGAATAACACTGATCTTAGCTGAGGCTCTAGTAGAGAAAACAGATGCTGCCAAAATTGATTTTGTTTGTATGATTGCAATTTTGTCTGATAAGGCTACCTACATGTTTGTAAGAATGTAATTTGATTTTGATAGCGTTTGATTTCACAGGGTTCCAGACTATTAGGATATGTAATGTCAGTAATACATTAAACAACTTAGCAGAAGTCTAGGTAGCAGGTCTCTAAAGGGAGTCATCTGAGGGACACTGATGTTGTCTGAGGTCTCTAATGCACTTCTGGAGGGGTCAGTATTAGATACAACGTGTTTCTAAACATACTGTATTTGAACAAAGTCAAATAAAAAATACACACTTAAGACCATGAGATGCAGAACATGCCTGGAAAATGGGATGCTTTGTCCCAGAAAGCAGTGACTCAGGATGGCTAATGCCATCCTTTGACTGCAAAGCAAATAGGAATACCTCTGTGTGTGCCTGCGGTAAGAGACTGGAATACTCTTCTGGGGTGGCATAAGGACACTGGAAAAGATGGTGCAGAATATATCCACTAGCAGGGATTTGAGGGCTGGAAGAAATGCTTCATGTGGGGAGACTAGGAAGCTCAAACCCAGTCTTGTAACAAAAATAAGGCTGAAAAGCAAGTTGACTATAAATATATATTTTAAGGAGAAACTGCTGGGGGGATTATTAGGGGACTAGATTATTATGGGACTATAATCTAGCTAAAAAGCCTAACAAGAACTAATACCTAGGAACCATATACCAAGCAAACTCAAATGGGAGAAACGCCCACATTTTAACAGAGGGTGATGGATCACTGGAACAGTGGGAGGGAGGCAATGACGCTTTTGCCACTTTGTAGCTTCTATCAAGACCAGAATACTGCTTTAAAAGATATGGGCAAGGCAAACATATGTTCGTGGACTCAATACAGAAGTAAAATGGGTGAAACACACAGCTCCCTTCTGACATTAAATCTATGAATATGAATGTGTCAGTGTTTTGATCCCTGCCCCTGTATTATTCATCTTGCCTGGCTCTAGGCAGTACAAAGAATCATGTTTATGAATAATTACATCACATATTTTAACTGTCTTGTAGGATCACGGGCAAAAACCCATCCCATAAAATTAACACCCATCCCTGCTCAATCTAAGCCCTGCTCAATCTAAGGCAGGTGTGCATATGATGGGCAGCCTCTGGCACTGTATTAGACAGTAAGAAGGAGACTCAGGAGTGAGATAAATAGCAGAGGAGAGGAATAAGAGATTAATCTGTATGTTGGGGAACATCTCCAGGTTAAACACTAATCACTGCTAATAGATCAGGCACTGCAAAACTCTTGAAGCAGACACGGCTTCATTTTGGCACAGACTTTAAGCCCTAGGGGAAACTTAAGTCATATCTGAAGAATATTCTTAGAGGAATGCATCCAAGAAGGACACACAACATTGAGAGCCCTCCTTGAAGAGGTGACTGCTTCCACTACAGACCAACTTGCTGCAACTGAGACTGGTCTCCCTGAAACGAGCTGAGGTTTTGGAGTGGGCTCAGATGACTTCTGCCTGTGCTGGTGAATATCCTCCATTCTTATCTTCTAGATAAAAGGAGAAATGAGAGGACAAAGATGAAGCGAATCCTGGAAATTGATTTCCCGTGTCTTTCCCAGGCTGCTAGGGCCACATTGGTGGGACAAGAGCAGTGGAAGTTCTCCTAGCAGCTGTCGCACCTACTCCAATGTTAAATAAAGCTCTCACTGCTCCAGGCTCCGTAAACCAGGCACTCTTCAGCAGGCTCAGGATTTTGCCAGAATCAGCATGAGCTGACCAGCCCCAAGCATGATGTGATAAACTCACCAGCCAAGAGAGATGAGGCAGCCTTCGGTCTAGACTACCTACTGAAGATCAGAAATACCTTAGAGCATGGAAACAGAGACGTTTACATCCAACAGCAGCTGGCTGAACAGACTTTTAGGGTGCATGTGTACAACAAGCTGGCGTTGTTCAGAGTCCCACACACGTGTTACTTCCATTTCTGCATGCTTTAGCATGCAGGTTCATCTGTGCACTAATTATGCATCACAGAACACAATAGACAAAATTCACTTTGTCCCAAAAGCTAAGACGAGCACATGTACTCCTGGTCCCATTTAAACTTTGTGCTGGTCTTCCACAAGGAAAAAATATCCTTGTATGACAACAGCTGGGACCAGCAGTATCTTCACAGTTTGGCTTAGTTGCAGGGGAAAAAACACATCTCATCTCCCACAAAAGCCCAGGGGCAGTGACTTGCTAGCAGTGGTTAAGCAGACCACAATAACAACGTTTTGGGTGTATTCTGCCAAAGCCTCGACTCCCTGCCTGTAAGAAACCCAACCTACTCCTCAGGGTGCCATTGCAATCCTCATCTCCATTTTTCACTTCCCTAAGCTCACCAAAGAGATCTAATCCTAAGGCTCCATGAGATTCACTGTGCCGGGAACGTCTTCGACTGTTCCTACAATGATTCCGTGCTGTGACTTTGCAGCTCTGTGCCATCCCTAGCAGGATGCCCGAGCGCACAACGACGAGCAAAGAGCTGCTTGAAGGAGTAGTTCTGGAAGAAGGTAAACACAGGGATTTGTCCAAGTAAATGCAGACATTGACAGCATGGATGATGGAGGTTGTTCTGGTTGGTGGAATAGGGGAAACAAATCCTCTCATTCTAAAGTAACATCTAAAATAGACTGTGCAGGTCATACCTTAAAGCTGACGACCTCCACTGTCAGAGGAGAGTAATTAGCTTGAGCGTGAATATTCACCCTACAGAGGTGAACATCCTATGAGGCTCTGCTCATTGCAGGCTCTGTGCTACAGAAACAGCTGACAGGCTGCAGGAACTTTCTTATAAAACTCCATTTGCACTTCTTGGGAAAACAGCTGGAACGAGCAGCTTTTGTGGAGAGCAAAGAGGAGGAGGCAGAAGTTAGATGAGGTCATGAGTATCCCTGTGTGTTGGAACAACCCTCCTTGTGCAGGGTACAAAGCAGCCTGGAAGAACAAGAATCTGACCAAACTGCCACAAAAATTCCAGCCATCCCACCTTCCCTCACCAGCAACAGACAGGAACAAGGCCTTCTCCAATACAGCCTGAGCCAGGAGGGATCAGGAAAAGCTCTTACCTTTCCAAGAAAGGCAGTATCGGGGAATGCTGGTAGCCTTAGGAGCTCAGACAACAACTGTCCTTTTCATTTAAAATTACAGCCACTATTTTATGCCTAAGGCCATGCTTCTGTTTCAGGTTGTGTGCAGACCATCCTATATTGGCTGCATATGAATGTGTTTATTTGAGA